CCTACTCAAAGTGGTGGAAGATAAAAGATGACCATCCTTCTTACCATTTGGTTCCTAGAACTCATACAGAAAGTATATTATACATACATATTCAAGACTGATGAAAGTCATTCAAATTTGTATAATGTGCTTACATTATCAGAGAGTGAGAAAATATTTTTGGCAGGATCAGTTTGAAGAATTCATTTGATAGGGCTTATGGCTGCACATTTTGGTAAGAATTTCATAAGAATATATTTAGAGGTACATGGATAAACAGACTTTTTTGTCAGAAGATACATTTTAATCAAGCCAAATCTATCTGATTTTTTATTTATATCTCCTAACAGTGACAGCTCTACTGCTTACTCAATGCTAGAAACACATATTTTAATAGGTGGATGATTTAGGTAGATAGACTCCAGTTGATACAGTTTTCAGTCTATTTAGGTTGGTGTTCATTACAATAGACCATTTCTTAGGGACTGTGTTGGCAATAATTCTTAGATACTCTACAGTAATTTTAAGCTATCATTCTTAAGTATTTAAGATCTTATTTCTTTTTTATTTTTTTAATGTTTATATATTTTTAAGAGAGAGAGAGAGAGACAGAGAGACAGAGCACGAGCAGGGGAAGGGCAGAGAGAGGGAGATACAGAATCTGAAGCAGGGTCCAGGCTCTGTGCTCACAGCATGGGGCTCGAACTCACGAACCTTAAGATCATGACCTGAACCGAAGTCAGATGCTTAAGTGACCAAGCCACTGAGGCGTCCAAGGACCTTATTTCTTAAAACATGTAGTTCCCATCTGGTTTTTGAACAGAGATTTTAAGAGGATGGTAAAAGATATGTGGATTTTTGGTTAAAAGTTAATGCATTATTGAGACTCTTGTCTGGGTTTTTTTGTTTTTGTTTTTGTTTTTTTTCATCACCTGTAAGCTCAATTTAATAGACTCCAGTTGTTTGGTCATAATCTGAAGTGCCATTTAATCAAATCAAGTCTGAGAAGCAGGAAACGAGCTTTATACCTAAATGTGGCTTTGACATCGATGATAATAGTTCCTTGTGTACTAATCTTTTGTTTTAGCTATTATTTCATTCATAGAGCTGAAGAATAAAATCAGCATGAGAAAATATGTTCCATATAAACTAAACTCCCTAAATGACATTTTAAAGCTATGTGGTTCATTTTAATGAATAATTTTCTAGATGCTTTTTAATTTCTAAAGATATGCTCACACATGGATTATTTACTTTAAGTAGTTTTCTTTCAGCTTCATATGAAAAAATGACAGTATTCATAAACAAAATTGAGTACGTGATTTATAAATTTTAGCTCGTTATGAAGACAGCCATTTTTAATCGGAGGTTTTGTAGCTTTATTTATAGAAGTAGTTATTTCTGAGTCCACTCTAATGTACCAAAATGATTTTTATTTTAAATTACTCATTGTTCTTGAATGCTGACAAAAACTGAGGACTGATGGATGTGGGGGGGAGGGGGGGGATGGGCATGGAGGAGGGCACTTTGGGGATGAGCATTGAGTGTTATGTAGAAACTAATTTGACAATAAACTATTTGTAAAAAATAAATAAATAAATAAATAAAAAAAAAAATAAATTACTCATTGTTCCAGTTCTGTCCCATTTTTGCCCTGTAGCATTGGTTGACATTTCATAGAGAGTAAACTGGCATAGGGCTGGAAAATATGTAATTATAAGAATCACCTACTCTTGAATTTCCCATTATATAATAGTAATGATTCAGGCAGACTTTTCATAGGTGTTTGATTTGGAATGAGAAGTTTTTTTCTTCCATGACCTGTGATTAGAATGTGGCATTTTGATAAATAAATAGAAGATAATTTCTGCATAATCCAGCCGTGAATCAGAGCTGGTGAAGCAATGTAAATCTTTGACCTGTATCATATAAGCAGTAACATATGTAATTGGAAATATATTTTAAGATCAAGTACAATAGACCCTTTTTTTTTTTTTTTTTTTTTAAGTGCTCTGTAGCTTAAAGCAAGCTAAGTGCTAAAATGCAGTAAGACGCATATTGAGAGTTTGGCTTTACTTAATGCTTCTCAAAGGAAGTCCAATAAAAGGATATCCACTAAAACTACATTTGAATATTTTCTTTTCTGTTAATGAGTTCTAACCATAAAGGTAAATACTTATCAGTTGCTGTAGCATGCTGGTAAGGACCAGGAATAGACTGTATTTCACTTCATAGTTGCAAATGAAATTTACTGATACAACATTAAACCAAACAGCGTTTGCTTTATAGTCTTATCTGTTGCATTAACCTCTATACATCTTTATGGTTAAAGTCGTAATTTTTAATTAATTGACTGTAGAATCATGTACCCAGTTCCTGATAATAAGTTTGTGTTCTTTTCTGGATACTGCAGTAACTGACACATTTTCCCAGTGTAGTTGAGTTTGTATATGTTTACTTTAAAGATATTATGTATGTCTATGTATATTGTTTTTCTGCACTAAGAATAGAAATTATATTATTTCAAAGTGTTGCTACAACACTTGTCTTTTGGCAGATCAAGATACTTTACTTCTGACTTCTGTCTTAGTCAATTCTGACTGCTATAACAAAAATACCATAGACTGACTAGCTTAAACAGTACAAGGTTCACCGTTGCTGGAGTCTGCGAAATCCAAAGTCAAAATGCCGAAAGTGACATTTCATTCCTAGTGAGAGACTTCCTTCAGGTTTGCAGATAGACATCTGCATACACAGAAGAGATAGAGAAAATAAATTCTCTCATGTCTCATTTTATAAGGCCAGTAATCCCATCATGAGGGCTCCTCTTGTGACCTAATCACCTTCTGAAGGCCTCATCTCCAAATACCATCACATTGGAGACTGGGGTTTTAACATACGAATGGAGCAGGAGGCCACAGTCATCCAGTTCATACCAGCTTCCCACAAGGGATTTATAATTTTGGATATCTATCCTATGAATTGAATTGACTTTAGAGTGATTGAACTAGAGCCAAATGTCATCTCTTATTGTAAATTTTGAAGTGTCCTAGTTAACGAAGCTAAAGCCTTAAAAATGTGTCATGTGAATTTATCAATTCCAAAATATTTTAGATTTGAAAACATCTGCAGGAATCTATTCTTCAAAGTAGGTGGTTTTTAACTGCATATGTAGTATTAATATTTTTATATCTATTTCACTGTTTATGTTCATTGTTAATATTCTGTGCTTATGTTTTGTTTCCTCTCCCCACTTTATCTCTTTAATGCCCTCTAATTTAGTTTCATTCACCACCACTCATCTACTTGCTCCACGGTGACCTCTCTATGAAGTCTCCTCTTGAAACATTTGATATAGTAGACCTCTAACACTCTCTGGAAATACAGGCTTGACAAATGACAGACACTCAATACGTTTTGGTTAACATGTGGATGGAGAAATGAAAAATCTCTCCCTATTTTCTATGATGTTGTGCTTGCCATATTCTACTCACTAGACTATTCCCTTCATTGATTCTTCTCTCTTTCCCATATGCAGCACCCCCAAGTTTCAGTCCTCAGTTATTTAATTTTCTCTCTCCATGCTCTTTCATTTAGAGATACCTCAGTTTTTGCCTCTACATAAAAAACTCCTTTCCTTTTCTCCAGGACAGCTTTCTCATGAGCTTCAGTTGTGTATCTTCACTTGTCTTTTGAACATGTCTATTGGATATCCTGCCATCTTTTCAAACATCTGGTTCAAAACCAAATACATGATGTTCCATTTCAATGGTATCTTTCTGCTGTGTGTGTGTGTGCCTTTATTTTATTTATTTATTTATTTGTTTGTTTGTTTGTTTGTTTTGAGAGAGAAAGAGAGAAGCAGAGAGAGGGCTGTGAACAGAGGATTCAAAGCGGGCTCTGTACTGACAACATAGAACCTGCTGTGGGACTCGAAATCACAAACTGTGAGATCATGACCTGAGCTGAGATCATGACTTGAGCTGAGTTTAATGCTTAAGCGACTGAGCCACCTAGGCGCCCCACAGTATTGCCTTTTTATTGGCCATTAGTCATTTTTATCTTCTTCCAGTGACTATACATACTAAATATTTGTTACATCTCATAGAAAACATTGGAGTTGCTATTCCTTTCCCAAACCAATGTTAGTAAACTCCTTAGTGTCCTTAAAACAAACCAAGTTACGCCATCCTATAAAGTACTGCTAAAGTTTATTTCTTAAAGTACCTCTTTCTTCATGAATCGCCTCCAGTCTAAAACCTTCAAGAGCTACCCACTACCTGTGGGAGTAGTTTCCAAATTCTTATTTAAAAAAAAATTAGACAATTTTAGTTAATTTTTTTTTTTAACCTAGGACTCAGATAAAGAAGAGTAAATCTAGAGATGTTTTGAATGAATTTAATTCAGGCACTTTCTACTTGGACTTCACTTAGACATTTTTCCCTGGGCACTTGTCTGGAATTCTGGGACATTTTATAATATGATTTGAAACCTAATGGCTGTAGTACAAAATCCTCACTTAGGATTAGGCCCTATTCCATTCTACCAGTCTGTTTATTACATCTAATTGTTTCATGTGAATTCCATCTTTGTATCTTGACTTCTATCATGTTTAGTATCCAGAATGCTGTTAAGCTACATTTTTGCTTCGTTAGGTCTTATTTATATTCTGAAATGCATTTCAAGTCCTACATCTTCACTGAGCATATGGATACAGTTTTAGGAAATAAAGAAGTTGGGTATCTTTTTTCATGATGTATATGTATCTTGAAGGGATATTTGCTTTTTTGGGAAAATACTTCTATATTACATTGAATTATTAGATAGGCAAATATTACCTTTTTTGTACTTATATTTCAAAGCCCTAAACTAAATGATTTTAAGCATTCAAAAAGAATGAGTCCAAGATTGTTTGATGCTAAAATTATGTATTAAGAGCATGAATCTAAGAATAATAATTACATGACCCAAATCAATAATTTTAACATATTTTATTATTTTCTATACTTGTTTTCTTTTAGGACCTGCAGCATACAATCCTGTATTAAGGACATCTTGTTCCATACCCTTATTTTTTAAGTCGTCAAAGCGTTTTAAAGATTCCAAAGAGATTACTCCTGGTCCAGCAACGTATGAGGTTTGTCAATGATAATTTTCTTTTATCAGTAACGAAAGAATAGAATAATTTCAAGAAAGCACTGAAAATGTCTACATTGAAGTCCTTTCCATATGTTTTACCCATATTACTGACTATTAAAATCTTCTGGCTAAGAAAGGCCTTTTTTTAATACATTCTGTTTTTAAAGACTGAATTAAGAATTATTCGTCAGTTTATCTATATCCACTAAGCACACACACACACACACACACACACACACTCGTGTATATATGTTATATATATAATTTGTTACATCCCTGAAACTTTAAAGACTTAGTTGTTTACATACATAAATGGAAATATCCAAGTATTATTGCAATCATGAATTTATTAGAAGGCTCAGAAGATAGCCCTGTTAGAGCCTGTAGTCTTTTAAGCTGTGGATGTTCTGATTACAAGGATGCTTAAATAAACTTCAAGTTTTAAAAACTGTGTTCACAACTAGGCTTAATTCCTCACCTAAGATGAATGGGTCTACTATTTGCACTCTACTAACTATTAAAAGTGAAATATTTTATAGTGGCTTATAGCAAGTCATTTAAGAGTTAATACTCAGGGCAAACCACAGTGAATATTGTTTTTTGGGTTAGTTAATGACAAGTTTATTTTTATTGAATGTATGCTTTTCAACTTATTTAAAATGTCATGATCTAAATAATTTTTAGGCATTTTGTCAAAGCAGATTTATAATATAAGATCGGGGAAAAAAAGAAAAAGAAAAGAGAATGAATAATGAAAGTGTTGTTATTTTATTTGTTGGCTGTTGACTCCCCCAGAAGACCACTGCTAATTCCTACTGATTAAGTAATGCTAATTCTATTTACTTTAGAAAGGGAGAATCTGCTAAACAGTCTTAATAGTGTTTCAGAAGGTGCAAATCAAAGGACTTTGGGTGTTTTAGGACCTGGGCTGTGTGATATAAGACAGGTCTTACACTGGGTGTTATATGGAAACCAACTTGACAATAAACTATTTATTTAAAAAAATAATAATACATGTCTTACAAATGGGGAACTGGATAAGATTGGGCAAAGTTTATGACTTGTTTACTTTGGGTTATTAGGCACAGTGAGGAAAGGTCTTAAAGTAAGTGTTGATCAGTAAGCTATCAGTCTTGATAAGTTAGATGGTATAGCTGTTCATAGTCTGATATTCTTTCATATTAAATCTTAAGCTGAACCCTTCTCCTCTACTTTTGAAAACTGATTTTAGTGGTATTTACAAATAATAATGTCAGTAAATGTAAATGATATCCTTTTATTTTGTTATATATTTATTACAGAAAATGTATCTATTAGTCTTTCTAGTATTTAAAGACGTTCTTTCTTTTTCTTTCATTAAGATTTTAGAAATTATATTTATACTTCTTCATAGTCTTTTCTATGCCAACAGAAAACATTTATGGGTTTGATAATGATGTTTATTAAGGTATTGTCTGAATATATATGTATATATTCATACTGCACTGCAAGGTAACTTTTCTGTTGAGAACTGAGTGTGTAATATTTATTTTCTTCCTAATACCATTTGTTTTCTTGAGTAATTCAAAAGTTTTTGAAAAAGTAATTTTCTTTCAAAGTTTTCCGTTAAAGAAGTTATTTTTAATCTGATAGGCCAGTAAATTATAGGTCCATTTATTATTACTTGTTTTTATTTTTTTATTTGATATTTCTTTTTTTTTTTTTTTGTCTATTGACTTTAATAAGCTTACATTGGTGACTTTTGAGAACACGTTTGCCTAAATATTTTATTTTTTACAGTAAAAGATGATTTTAGAAATTTATAACATTGTTTTAAGATTGTAATATTATGTTCTACTTAAAACTTAAATGTGGGGTGCCTGAGTGGCTTAGTCGGTTAAGCGTCTGACTTTCGCTTAGGTCATGATCTCGCGGTTCGTGGGTTCGAGCCCCGCGTTGGGCTCTGTGCTGATTGCCAGCTCAGAGCCTGGAGCCTATTTCAGAGTCTGTATCTCCCTCTCTCTCTGACCCTCCCCTGCTCACGCTGTCTCTCTCTCTCTCTCTCCTAGAAATAAATAAAAAATATTTTTAAAAAACTTAAATGTGTATGATTTGTGCCATCATTAGTTATAGGTTTTCAGTGTCACATGTTTACACTGGATCTAACCTATCCAATACAGGTGGTAGTTACAATAATATCTATTAACAACAGCTCTCTTAAGTTACACAGCCATATTTTCAAAGTCAGCTAGACATTTTTATTCTTATGTAAACAGTCTCCTCAGTTTCCCAGGCAGAAAGAGTTTTCTCTCTCTCTCTCTCTCTCTCTCTCTCTCTCGGTGGGGTTATGATCAGAATTTCTTTGGAACATCACTCACTGTATTTCAATTATAAGCTAATCTGTTTGTCTTTTTTGCTTCTTCTAGTTGTTGATATTTATTGGTTTACTATCACTGACACTTTTAAAGATATACTGAAAGCTAAGGGCCTTTAAGGGGAAAATTTTGCATGTATGCTTATGTAAAAAATGTGTATACAATTTTAGATGGTTTGTTAATCCACAAAAACCCACTTACAGTTTCAACCAAGAACTCCCAGTAGCAGATTCTGAACTCTATGAGGGGAAGACTTATTTACTTTTATATTATTAGGGCTTCAACCATAGAATTGGGCATATAGAACCATGTTAATAAATGCTTATTGTATAAATCAATAAATATAAGTAAACAAATGGGCAGAGGACTTGAATATACATCTTTCAAAAAAATATATACACAGGGTCAACAGGTAGAAAAGGTGCTCAACAATCCCCCTTATCAGGAAAATGCAAATCAAAGCTACATCCCTTAGAATAGTTAACATCAAACAAAAGATAACAAATGCTGGTAAAGATGTGGATAAAAGGGAACTACTGGGCACTGTTGGTGGAGGTATAATTTGGTATAGCCTTATGGAAAACAGTTGGACATTCCTCAAAAATTAAAAATAGAACTACCGTATCTAGCAATGGTAGATTGATAAATCAATGGATAATTCTAAGATTTCTTCCCATGATTAAATTACTAGTCTTTATCCATGTATAAAGATGTACTTTTTTACTTAGTTTAGTGAGAAGAAGAAATTTCAATGAATTTAACTTTTAAAAATCCTTCATTAAATATTACAGAAAAATTTAAATATACCTTTCTTTAAAAAAGCAAATTCTACGGAAATTAATTGAAATTCAATAACTCATTTCGTCAGAAATGGCAGAATTTCCTACTTTCTTTAAGTGTGGAATAATATTTCATTGCTATTTACACTCACCAAAACGTTATCCATTCTTCCTTTGATAGATACTTAGGTTGTCCTATGTTCTGACTACTGTGAATAATGTCACAGAGACAGAGGAGCACAGGAGTCTAATTCATTTCCTTCAGATATATACCCAGAAGTGAAATTGCTAGATATGGTAGTTCTATTTTTAATTTTTGAGGAATGTCCAACTGTTTTCCATAAGGCTATACCAAATTATACCTCCACCAACAGTAGTTCCCTTTTATCCACATCTTTACCAGCATTTGTTACCTTTTGTTTGATGTTAACTATTCTAAGGGATGTAGCTTTGATTTGCATTTTCCTGATAAGGGGGATTGTTGAGCACCTTTTCTACCTGTTGACCCTGTGTATATATTTTTTTGAAAGATGTATATTCAAGTCCTCTGCCCATTTTTTTACTTAAGTTTTTTTTTCCTATTGAGTTCTATGAGTTCCTTATATATTTTTTTATATTATCCGCTTATCAGATAGATGGTTTGCACATATTTTCTCCCATTCCATGAAATGCTTTTTCATTTCTCTATTGTTTCTTCTGCTGTAGAGAAGCTCTTCAGTGTGATGTAGTCCCACTAGTTTATTTTGGTTGCATGTGGTGTCATATCCAAAAGAAGACTAGTGTCAGACAGGATTTCCCCTATGATTTAGGAGTTTCATAGTTTTAGGTTTAGATTTAAGTCTTTTAAGTAATTTAAGACTTAGATTTAAATCTTGAATTCATTTTTTTGTGTATGTGAGTAAGATAAGATAAGGCTGCATTTCATTCTTTATGTAGTTATCCAGTTTTCCTAAGACCATTTATTAGAAGACAATATCCTTTCCCCATTGTGTATTATTGGTGTCCTTATCAAGGATCAATTGATCAAATATGCAAAAGTTCATTTCTGGGCTCTTCTGTTGTCTGTTTATATACTAGAATCTTACTGTTTTGATAACTACAGCTTTATAATATCTTTTGAAATTAGAAAGTGTGATGCCTCTAGGTTTGTTGTTCTTTCTCAGGATTTCTTTGGCTACTTGGGGTCTTCTATGGTTCCATACAAATTTTAGGACTAACTTTTCTATTTCTGTGAAAAATGTCTTTGGGAATTTGACAGGGATTACAGTGAATCAATAGATCACTTTAGGTATAATAGACATTTTAACATTATTAATTTTTCCAATTCATAAACATGGAACATCTTTCTATTTGTTTGTGTCTTCTTTATGTTTCTCCATCATTGTCTTATAATTTTCAGTGTACAATCTTTAACTGCTTTGGTTATATTTATTCCTAAGTGTTTTATTATTTTTTATGCTATTATAAATGGAATTTTTTGATAGTTTGTTATTTGTGTATAAAAAACATAACTGATTTTTTGTATGTGCATTTTGTATCCTGTAACTTTACTGAGTTCATTTATTATTTCTAACAATTTATTTGGGACATCTTTAGGATTTTCTATATATAGGATATATCATCTGCAAACAGATAATTTTACTGCTTCCTTTCCAATTTGAATAACATTAATTACTTTTTTTTTTAATTGATCTTGATAGGACTCCCAGTGCTGTTAAATAGGCATGGATAGAGTGAGCAGTCTTGTCTTGTTCTTGATTTTAACAAGAAAGCTTTCAACTTTTTACTACTGAATATGATATTAGCTGTAGGCCTGTCATATATAGTCTTTATTATATTGAGGTTTGTTCATTCTATACCCAATT